ACAGACAAGAACCAAGTGCCTTGGGAGATCTTTCTGGGCCTGAGAAGAGATTTCTTTCTTTCTTTCTTAGAGTCAGAACCATTTTTCCGAAGCTCTTTGGATAAAAAATCACAAAGAACAATGCTTGCTGTTGTAGACTACATGAGAAGACAGAAGAGGTAATGTAATGAATGTTGCTTCTTGAGTTTGGGGATTTAGAAATCTAATTTTTTACTGTAGGCCAAATTTTGACCTGATGATTTTAGGTGAAGCTGTTGCAGAATGTTATATTTAATTGGTGTGATGGTTACATTTCCTTGTAATAATCCATATTCAAGATGGTACTTTGGTTAAATCCGTGTCCGAAGCTCAGTTCTAGTCCCAGCAGTATGAGTAATGGTGTTATCTTTGCTAAATCCTGCAGCCTTTAGGGGCTTCAGTTTCATCTACAGAGCTAAGAGAAAGGAGCAAGTGATTTTACCAGGTTAATTATTTTGCCCACTTTATTTATTTATTTCACCAGTTCTGAGGATTGAATCTAGGGGTGCTCTACCTTGGAACTATATCCCCAGCCCTTTTTATTTTTTGAGACAGTGTCTCACTCAGTTGCCCAAACTGACCTTGCAACTATGATGTCCTGCCTCAGTGTCTTGAGTAGCTGGTATTACAGGTGTGCACTAACCATGCTGTGACCCTTCTAACTTTCCCCATTGCTTTTTAGAAGTAGCTAGAGTTGTATGAATATGTCTTATATATCTATCACAAGATATAGTATATGCCATAATCATCGATATCTGTAGTCACACTCTGGTAGAACAATGTTTATTTTTCTGATAGGGGCAAATTTTATAATATTACAAGTATCTTTTTTCCTGTTATTTATCATGAGGGATGTGTGTATGTGTGTGTTTGTGTTCATGCATGGCATTGTGGTTTGAACCCAGTGGTGCTCTTGCACTGAGGTGCACCCTCAGCCCTTTTTATTTTTATTTTGAGCCAGGGTCTTTCTGAGTTACCCAGATTGATCTTGAACTTGGCAGTCCTCCTGCCTCAGCCTCCCAAGTTGCTGGGATTACACTCATGTGCTGCCACATTTGGCTTCATGAGATTTTAAATGGAGTATAACAATAGCTAGGGTTGACTAAAACTCTGAAGAAATAATACAGTGAGTCTATACAAATGCCCCTAACTTTGAATGGTTCATTTTATGATTTTTCAATTTGACAATGGTATGAAAGTAGTAGCATTCAGAAGAAACCATACTTTGAATTTTGATCTTATTCTAGGCTAACAGAATAACATGTAGCATGATCCTCTTGTGATGCTGTCATGATGGTAACAGCCATGCAATCACAAAGGTGAACCACTGATACTCCACAGTGTGCTGTGTTGTTAAGCTATGATGTTCAGTAGGTTGGCTGAATTAAATGCAATTTTTTACTTAACAAGATTTTCAAATTATGATGGGTTTATCAAAGTATAACTATAGTTAGTTAAGGAGAGTCTATAATTTGAATATGTGGGATTTGATGTCTCATGCTTATGTATGGTGATAGTGACAGAGGTTGGTAAGGAGTGGGGGGTGTGTGTGTGAAAGAATAGAAGGATTTTTAAAACAAAATGCATTTGCATCTTAAAAAAGAATTCCTTTGTATTTCCTTTATACCATTTCATTCTACTCATAGAAAAAGAATTTTTTTTGGCTTTTGGTGGTCTTCAATTCTGATAAGAAAGTGACTGATTTATTTTATTGATTTGTACCAGATCCTTTTTTGAGAAAATTGATTTAAAGCTTTAACCGTAGGTAGGAGCATCTTGGTGTTGGGAGGCAGTTTTTCACCTTCAAGTCATTCGTTTCAGATTTATTTACGTTAAATGGTGTTGATGTTGGCAGGACTTGAGAAGATAAAATTTCTTCCTTAGTTGACACATGGCAGTTGTACAAGATAAATATTCTTAATATTCAGTTCCATTTTTCAATAAGACCTGTAAAAATGATTGTTTAAAAATGTTAATGGGACATATTAAAAAAAAAATAAGGACCTTAGCTCAAGTTGAAGTCTGATACTTATATAAACTTTGTGATCTGGACAAATTATTTGGTGTCTTTGAACTTGTTTTATTGTCTTTAAAATCAGGCTAATGTCTACCTTGAGGGAGCGGTTTGGTTTGTGGTAATTAAAATAGATGAAGTATGTAACATATCTGACATTAAAAAATGCTAGCAGCTTTCTTCCTTTCCATGGGCAGATTATTTGACTTCTCAGAAATACCAGCTACAGTTAAGGACTTGTTGTGTAGAAGGCACTTTATTCATCGGTTTTACAAGTGTTATATAATCACTGCAACTGTTCTTTGATGTATATGTTTTTCTGGGATTTATAAATGAGGAAAATAGGAAACTGAGGCTGAAGAGTTAAATTGCTGAAGATCATACAGCTAGTACTGGGTGCTGTAGCTTGCTTTGCACCTAACTCCTGTGCTAACACCTGTGCTCCTCCAAAGCCAGTACTCTTAACCACTACTTTGTCATTTCTCTGATAGTTTTGAAACAGATACCATTCTATAGTCCAGTTCTCATCTGCTATTACCACAATGAGAGATTTTTATTTAATAACTCACCTTATGCAGTAAACTAAAGAGAAAATGACTGCAATAGGAAAGACATGTAGTTGTGTCTTAAAAGAGAATAGTTTCATTAAATTAAAAGATATATCTCTGTGTGCGCATATGCGCACATGTGCGTTACCAGCTGTTCTATGTAGCCTATTCTTAGGTAATGGTGCGTGAAGTGTTTGATGTAGGGAAGGCATGAAGCTCAGATTTATATGGGATGATGGGTCATAGCTTTCAGCATATTCTCTAAGGGGTTTGTGATCCAAAAAAGATTAAGAAACTAGACTCTCCACCCATGCCATCTTAGAATGTTTATAGCTATAAGGGAAATATGGTTTTCAGTTATTTGAATGTAATTTTCTGTTTAACTTACAGCTGTTCCCAATGTGTTACACTATATCATGGTATTTTTCTTTTAGTGTTGAAGTTTTAAAAATGGAATGATATTATGGTTAATTTTTCTTTAGACCCTCGGCAGGAACAGTTTTTGATGATGCTTTCTGGCTGGATTTGAATTATCTGGAGGTTGCTAAAGTAGCTCAGTCTTGTGCTGCTCACTTTACAGCATTGCTCTATGCAGAAATCTATGCAGATAAGAAGAACATGAATGATCAAGAGAAAAGGTAATGGAATTTAAAGTTTTGCATTTTAAAATTGATGTTGACATTGTTTAAATAAAGATACATAGTAAAAATTATTTTGGTGCCTCTCATTTAAAAGACATTTTAGGTAGAAATTTGTGTTTTAAAGTAAAACAATAATAAAAATTTAAAAAGAAGTAATTCCACCCTGAGATAAATACAAATGTTTTATTATATATTACAAAAAATATATAGATAGCAAGCTTCTGGAGGACAGAGACCATAATTATTTTCTTTGTATTTCTCTCAATAGCATTGAGAATTTAATATAAATGATCAATAAATATTTTTCAAATGATTGAATTAATCCCTGATTTCATTATTGTTATATTTACCACTAATTCCTTAACTATTCAGTATCTATTTTTCTTTTGACCATAGAGTAATGTGACTTTTTTCTGTGACCAAAGAAATTTTATTTCTGTGTTATCTGTCTGTATTTCTGCTTACTTTGATTTATGAGAACTATCATGAGAATCTCAAAAATATAATCCTAGATCATGGTGAAAAAGCCAATAAAGTAGGAAGAGTAAAAAAAAAAAAATGCTTTATTATCCCAACTGTTCTCCTCAAATCTTTGTTTATTTGAAATAGCCTAGAGTTTACTTTTATATTTAGCCTCACCTTATCACCACTCAGTCAGCCATATTAAGAAATGAAAATAGCAAATATGTGTTGTGTTGACACAGTTATCATTCTTGTTACCAGTAATTTTTATTTTAGATTGTCAGTGAAGTAGTGTGCTTTTTACACTATGGAAAACCAGGAACCAGAATTCAAATTCTAGTTTAAATGTAATTAATTTACTAGATGTGGACCAATTTCTTAACTTGTGGTTTGATATTTAATTTAAGCTTTTTAGTTGAAAACACACAATATGTGGACACTGTGTACTATGTAATAGATATGTTCATGATCAGTATAAACTTCTTATGAAGACAGGTATATTGTCCTTTAAATAGGTAGTGAGTAAGAAATTAATTACTATCTAAGAGTATTACCATTTTAGTCAGAGCCTGCATACTTGGTATTAGTAATTGCAATTTGGATGTGTTTTAGTTTCTTGATCCTACAGAATAGTATTTCTTACCAATCAGAAATGAACAAGTTATCTCTTCTAGGAGTGTAAATTGAAGCACCTTTAGTTAAAGGTAAGTGATTGTATGGAATGTAGCAGACTTTTGCAGAATTGCTTATTTTTGTTTTTTGGGGATTGTTAGTGCCGGGCAAGTACTCTTACATCAGAGCTATATCCTCAGCCCCATATTGCATGTTTTAAAGCAAGCATGCCAAGATTATTTTGTATTCATTAGGAGAGGGTGCTTGGCAAATAGGGTTTACTGTTGGCTTTGATAGTCTGTTTTTACTCCCGTGAGGTCTGATGGGAAGATGAGGGTAAACCGATGAAGTGTATAAAGGTTAAGAGATGCTAGTTTTCTTCAGTGACTCTATTAGGTGAGCAGAAGCTTTGTAAATCTAAAGTGGCCAAGAGTATATTTGTACATAAAATAAAGATTAACACTTTACCAGAGCTGTCAGGTCAAGAAAATGAACTGCTCTCTCAGATATCCTATTTGGACTATTTAGTTTTTAAATTTATTTTTAATATGTTTTTAGTTGTTGATGGACCTTTATTTTATTCATTTATTTATATGCGATGCTGAGAATCAAGTGCCTCACACATGCTAGGCAAGTGCTCTACTACTGAGCCACAATCCTAATCCCCTCCCTATTTGGTCTGTTTAATAACAAAGTTCCTCATACTAAGTATTCTGGATACAGGTAAAGTTTTTTGTAACTTGCTCCTGAGAAAGTATGAGATTTCATTGTTAGTGCCCATAATTTATAGAGGAAGAAACTCTGCCAAATAGGATTTTGACAATAGGTATTAATTTCACAACTTCAGTCATCTTAATATTCATATATTTATCTTAATGTTTTGGTAATAAGGGTTTAAGTAGAGTTTTAGATTTCTTAATTTTTGTCAGTTCATCAGTGTTAAATTGTGGCTCATTGTGGTCTTAAAT